ATTTATGGTTGTATTCTTGTTTTCTTGGTCTCATTTGATACAATGGAAATCATAGAAAGAGAGGTGATTTAGATTGGTTTTACTATGAAAAGAACCTTGAAATGAAGCTCAAAGTAGGGGAAATGTTTGATTTTTGCCAATGTTCAAAAGTAAACAAATTATGTCATTGTCCAATAAATGTCCAGCTAGCCATTCTGATATGCAGTTATGAATGGGTTGACATTATTTATACAATTATTACAATATTGCAATAGTCTGCATAACAGTAAATCTTCTATTGTTTATTTGAATAAAAATTCAAATTAGAAAGCAAGAGTAATGTCAGAGGGGCCTGGAGACATGACTGATGAACAAAGAAAATGTTATTTTAGAGCCAGGAATGTCTGCATTGTTCATTCTGGACCTATTTTGAAATTGGCATATTTTTTAATTTGTGTGAAATTGGCCAAATTGCAAATTTCTGACTACGTTATTGGGTAGTTGAAATCAGTAAATGGGCAGTTTCTTGTACTCAATTGATAGAATAAGTGGATTTCTAAAGAAATAACTATGAGTTTCATCGACTGGAACAGTGGAATTAGCCAAAAATAGGGCTCAAAGTGGGCGAAATCACCGATTTGTAAATATCGCCGAGGTTGCTAGCTTCATGAGAGCGTAATTCCATGAGTTTTCCATCAAATTTCATTCTTTTGGTGTCATTACCATCGGGAAAAGATTCTCTATCATTTCATAAGAAAAAATATTTTTTTTTGTTTTAAATTTTTGCAACACCAGGAGACACCTCAGAATTTGGGGTTGCGACAGTCAAAGGGTTAAATAAGAGCTGGCATTTGATGAGCATATGCAAGTGTGCGGTGATAAGACTTGATTAGAAAAGATTAGAGGTGACATTTGATGAGTATCGGCCCTCGCTTTGTTTTTGCTGATACACAAACATGTCTGTCTATCTATTTGTCTGTCAAGCTCCCTGTGTATCTGTCTATCCATCTAGCTCTCCGTCTCGGAGAGCCACAAGACTGCATCACCATGTTTACTCATATCTTCAAGCAGAGTACAGTATAGCACTTTGTCTGGATTTTTTGGGTTATCCTAGATAATTTACACTATGTATACTTGTATTTATGTGTACCTGTGAGACAGAGATAGACAAAGACAGACAGAGATAGAGACAGAGAGACAGACAGAGATAGACATAGACACAGACAAACAAATGGAGCCAGGCCACCAGCAGCTGGCCAGTCATGCAGCTGGCCACCTGGCTGGCCAGGTGGCCAATCAGCCAGCCAATCAGCCAGTCAGCCAGCCTGCTGAACAAGTATTACGTTCCAGAATTGTTTCTCTTTACTTAGGACATAGGTTATAAGACATTCCGAAAGGGTGTTGCACAAATGCTGCACATGGGTTATTATCAAGGTTTTTTGATATTTCCTCGACCACTTATAGCCACATCCACCTCAAAGCCACTAAACTCGGGGTCAGCATCACTTTCCTCTTAATCCTTTGACTGTCGCAACCCCAAATCCTGAAGTGTCTCCTGGTGTCGCAGAGTTTTTGTGAAAAAAAAATTATTTTTTCTAATGAAATGATAGAGAATCTTTTCCCGATGGTAATGACACCAAGAGTACGAAATTTGATCAAAAACTTACGGAATTACACTCCAGCGAAGTTAGCGATCTTGGTGATATATACGCATCGGCGATTTTGCTGACTTTGAACCCTATTGTTGGCCAATTCCATTGTTCCAGTTCACCAAATTCATAGCTATTTCTTTAGAACTCCATTTTTTCTATCAGTTGAGTACAAGAAACTGCCCATTTACTGATTTCAACTACCCAGTAAAGTGATCAGAAATTGTCAATTTGGCCAATTTAATGCAAATTAAAAAATATGCCAGTTTCAAAACAGGGTCCAGAATAAACAATGCAGACATTCTTGGCACTAAAATAACATATACTCTGTTCATTGGTCACGTCTCCAGGCCCCTCTTATATTACTCTTGCTATTTATTTTGAATTTTATTAAACAAAAAATAGAAGATTTACTGTTATGCAAACTGCTGCATTATTATAAAAATGGTATAAATAATATCAGTGCACTAGTGAAAGAATATTAGACTTTGCAGTTGATGTGTATTGGACATGCGGTGTGATTTGCTTACTCTTGAACATTGGTAAAAATCGAACATTTCCGCTACTTTGAGCTCAATTTCAAGGTCGTTTTCATCGTGAAACTAATGAAAATCATCTCTATTTCTTTAATATGTTTTCCATTCTATCAAATGAGACCAAGAAAACGAGAATATAGCCATAAATACTACAGGAAAATACACCTCAAAGTCAGCGTTTTAATTCAAAAACATTGTCGGAGTTTTTTTTTTCTCATTATGCACTGCGTGCTGCAGGATTTTTTTATACTTTGCACACTGACGACACAGACCCATTCTCTCACATGTGGGCCTACCAGCTTTCTCCTGCTTGATTTGAAGCTGCTAGAATCATTGAGTATATATACATCCAAAACACTGGCTTGTAAGACGTACGTATATGGCCGAAACAGTCAAAGGGTTAAAATGGGAGAGTTAATACTACATAAAATCAGTGAATCCCAGGTGTTTGCCCCGCTGTTTGCTCTAGCTGGCACTCATTTGAACTGGTGCTCCCACGTGGTACTAAGTGGTCCCAGATTTTTTAATACAGTGCACACTGAGTGTTATGATCCATTCTCTGCTGACAAGGCATCTCAGGCCAATTGTGCCATATTTGAAGGCAGGAAAATAAAACGTTTGTATACGTTTGGGGCACTAGCAGTAAGAACGTATATATATGTTTGGACCGTTTACGGGTTAAAGCCAGTTGGGCCTGGTTCGAAAAGTTTAAAAGGAGGTCTGGCATTCACTCTGTCATCAGGCATGGTGAGGGAGTGAGCTCTGATGTGAAGGCAGCTGAGGATTTTATCAAAACTTTTGCAGAAGTGGTAGCAGATGAAGAATACATCCCTCAGCAAGTCTGTGAGAAGACAGGGCTTTTCTGGAAGAAGATGCCAAGGAGGACTTACATAACTGCAGAGGAGAAGAGGATGCCAGGCCACAAACCCATGAAGGATAGGTTGATCCTCGCACTGTGTGCCAATGCAAGTGGCGATTGCAAGATCAAGTCGCAAGATTAAGTCGCATAAGATTCTAAAAGGAAAACTGCATGTTATGTGGAAGGCAAACCCGAAGGCATGGGTCACCAGGCAGTTCTTTGTGGAGTGGGCAAACCTGGTATTTGGTCCTTCTCGTCCTGGACAACGCACCTGTTCACCCACCGAAGATTGCAGACGACGTAATTGAAGAGTTTAAGTTTATAAAGGTTCTCTACCTTCCACCCTACACCACCCCTATCCTGCAGCCCATGGACCAGCAGGTGATTTCTAATTTCAAGATGCTCTACACCATGCACCCATTCTGCCACTGCTTTGACGTGACAGAGAACACAAACTTGACCCTTCAAGAGTTCTGGAAGGACCACTATAACATCGTGATATACCTCAAAATTATAAATATGACCTGGCAGGGTGTTACAAGGAGGACCTTGACTTCTGCGTGGAAGAAGCTGTGGCCTGAGGTTGTGCCTGAAAGGGACTTTGAAGGATTCGGACCCGAAGTGCCAGTGGTGGAGGAGATTGTGTCTCTTGGAAAGGTCATGGGCATGGAGGTGGATGAAGATGACATGAACGATCTCATCGAAGAGCACTCCGAAGAGATGGCAACGGAGGAGATGAACTACATGATAAGGAGGTTTTACAGGACATTCGTACCATGGAGGCACAAGATGTCAAGGAGTATGTCTCCACAAGTGAGATAAAGGAAATATTGGGAATCTGGGAGAAATTTTCAGACTTTATTGAAAAGAAACACCCAGAGAAGGTTTAAAGAGGTCGTGCATTGGAGCTATGTAATGATGCTTGTGTAAGTCATTTCCAAAACATTCTGAAAGGGAGGAAGAAAGAAACCTCCTTGGACAGTTATTTATTGAAATGCCGTACAAATGAAAGTGTGACAAACGTGGAGAAAAAGTCAAAAAGTAAGTGAATACGTAGTGTAGTGAGATAAACATAAAACTTGCACATAGCAGTTCTTAAGAAAAGTGTGAACTCCTGACAGGATATGTTGCTCTGCATTTCTTCTCCAAGGTATGTAAATGTCATATGTACACCAGATCTAATTCAGTTAGCCTCACAAAGCCCGTTTTCTCTTATAACACCTCTGAAGTTTTCATACCGAGAATGCGCGACCACTCCCGACCACAATCCTCCTCCCTCCGCTGTCCAAGTAATGACATATTTTATTCATTCTAGGGTGTATATCAGATTTCTGTGTTATTTATATTGTTTATTATGTCATATTAGATGAATTGTGACAGATAACTAAGCCGTAGAGTTGATATTAGGGTTATTTTGTCATGTCTCTTGAGAGCAGGAGTTCAGCTGGAACAAATTAATTGCATTTCAATTAATTTAAATGAGGAAAATGACCCAGTATACGAACAAATCAGGATACGAATAAGTCCACGGAATGGATTAAATTCGTAACCCGAGGTTCCACTGTGTGGTGTTAAAGTTTAGCTATTTAAATTTGCATGATGTATGAATATAAAGAACAAATTGATTGTTAATGTTATAAATAAAAGGAATTTGAATGCCTTACCACTGAGTTAAATACAGTTAATAAGGTTACTGATTAGAGAGTTTGGGTTGGAAGAAATGAAAGTTAGGCATATCTGAAAGAGTGAAAGCTGTAGAAAGTATCTGATACTATTAATGAATTCTGGAGAGAGAAAAATAAAAATGTTTATTTAAAAAACTTGTAGTTTATAGATGAGTAGAAATTGTAGTATCAGATTGATTACATGTTACTGATCTTCCATCATGCATTGTGTGTCATTTCCAAGCACAAACATCATGTATATGAATAAAATATCTATGAAATAAACACTTACTTAGAATATTATTACTGACAGATGGAGAGGAAACTGCAGCAAGAGAGATGTCATTTTTCTTTCCAGAATTCTCCAGGAAGGAATGGTATGAAGTTGAGGAAGAAAAGTTTCGAAAAGGTCAAATACAGTTAGACAAAGCCAATTTTGTACATAGGTTATTATGAGGTAGTTCTCCATAACATTACATGTATTTGTTTTATAGTGATGATAGTGTTGAGAAAAAGAAGTACATGTATATTTGTGTACAAGTTCAAATACAGATTTTGCAACAGCAAAAAAATATCTATCTTTAAATTAAGAAATTTGGATTTACACTACCGAAGTCATTGATGTTCCTTAGTAATAACAATAAATGAATAAATTTTAATTTTAATTTAACCTAAATATGATAAATGATATAAGTGAAATAGACAAAAAAAAATATGGTGAAGAATGCAGTACAGTATTTGACACTATACAGCTAATTATTATTGGAAAGCAACCCAGTTGGGTCTCGAAAACTTTATTTTCCCTACCAGCAATTTTTTTTTTACTACAAAACATTCACACTTTAATAATAATAATATCTTTATTTCTACAAGTACAGTACATGTACAAGGTATACAGGCCTAGCTGACATTAATGACATACTACTATTTAGAAAGCCCATTGTTATCTACGTACCTGGAGTTTACCTGGAGGGCATTCTGGGGATCAATTCTCCGCAGCCCAGTCCACGACCAGGCCTCCCAGTGGATCAGGGCCTGATCAATGAGGCTGTTACTGCTGGTCGCACTCAGTCCAACGTACGAATCACAACCCGGCTGATCCGGCACTGACTTTAGGTATCTGTCCAGCTCCCTCTTGAAGACAACCAGAGGTCTATTGGTAATGCCCCTTATGGCTGGTGGGAGGCTGTTGAACAGTCATGGGCCCCGGACAGTTACTGTGTTTTCTCTGAGTGTGCCAGTGGCGCCCCTACTTTTCACTGGGGTATGTTGCATTACCTGCCAAGTCTTTTGCTTTCATAGGGAGTGATTTCTGTGTGCAGATTAGGAACCAGCCCCTCTAGAATCTTCCAGGTGTAGATTATGATATATCTCTCTCACCTGTGCTCCAGTGAGTACAGGTCAAGAGCAGAGCATTTTGGGCAAATAGGTCAATTTTGTCTCAGGATGCGACCCACTCCAGTCGACTAACACACAGGCACCCATTATTACTGATGGTTGAACATGGACAACCAGTGTAAGGAAACATGCCCAATGTTTCAACCCTTACTGGAAATCGAACCCAGACACTCACTCTCACTGTGTGAAGCGAGAGCTTTTGCCACCAGTCACTAAAACTGCCTAATTTATCTAGACATTTTTCTCAAATCTTCATTTCTGTTCCTTATCCTACCTCATAATACAGTGGTCCCTCGATAATCGTCGGGTTCGATAGTCATCCTTTTCGGAAATCGTCGCGTTATTTTTGTCCAAACATTGGCTCGCAAATGGTCTGTTGACTCGCTAATCGTTGTTTGTCCTGGACGCATACTCACGGCTCTGAGCTGCCTCGGCCTCCCTTCCCAGCCAGTGTGCCATTGTTTACCAGTGAGTGACGGTCCCCTCACTTGTTCATACGAAATATTTCATAATATTCCATTCATTTTAGTGCTTGCTACCATGGCTCCAAAGAAAGCTCCTAGTGCCAAGCCTTTGGTAAAGAAGGTGAGAAATGCGATTGAATTTAAGAAAAACATTGAACAATATGAAAGTGGTGTACGTGTGGCCGAACTGGTCAGGATGTACAGTAGACCCCGCATAACGATCACCTCTGAATGCGACCAATTATGTAAGTGTATTTATGTAAGTGCGTTCGTACATGTATGTTTGGGGTCTGAAATGGACTAATCTACTTCACAATATTCCTTATGGGAACAAATTCGGTCAGTACTGGCACCTGAACATACTTCTGGAGTGAAAAAATATCGTTAACCGGGGGTCCACTGTATAACAAATCCTGTACAACCATATCTTCCATCGTGGCTGAGAAAAAGGAAATCAAGGAAGCTGTTGTTGCAAAGGGGGTAAATATGCTAACAAAAATGAGATCACCAGTACTCGAAGATGTTGAGAAGTTATTATTGGTGTGGATGAACGAGAAACAATTAGCAGGAGATAGTCTTATGACGTCGATTATTTGTGAAAAGGCTAGGCAGTTGCATGATGATCTGGTAAAGAAATTGCCCACAACGAGTACTAATATTTGTGAATTTAAGGCCAGCAAAGGTTGGTTTGAGAGATTTAAGAACCGTAGTGGCATACACAGTGTGACAAGGCATGGTGAGGCTGCCAGTTCGGACAAAATTGCAGCTACAAAATTTGTAAGTGAATTCAAGGAGTACATAGAGGCTGAAGGACTGAAATCTGAACAAATGTTCAATTATGACGAAACAGGCCTCTTTTGGAAGAAAATGCCAAAGAGGACCTACATTACTCAGGAGGAAAAGGGACTGCCAGGACACAAGCCTATGAAAGACAGGCTGACGCTCATGTTGTGTGCTAATGCTAGTGGGGATTTCAAAGTGAAGTTGTTACTAGTGTACCATTCTGAAAATCCCACAGTGTTCAAGAGAAACAGTGTTATGAAAAGTAAATTGTGTGTGTTTTGTAGATATAATATTAAGGCATGGGTCACGAGGGAAATTTTCGTCGAGTGGTTCAATGAAGTGTTTGGCTCTAGTGTGAAGAATTATCTCCTGGAAAAGAAATTGGATCTCAAGTGCCTCCTAGTAATGGACAATGCACCTGTTCATCCTCCAAACTTGGATGACCAAATTCTGCAGGAGTTTGGGTGCATCACAGTAAAGTTCTTGCCCCAGAATACCACTCCTCTCCTCCAGCCCATGGACCAGCAGATCATTTCAAACTTTAAAAAACTCTACACCAAAGCAATGTTTCAAAGGTGCTTTAATGTGACCTCAGACACTCACTTGACCCTAAGAGATTTTTGGAAAGAACACTTCAGTATCCTCCACTGCATAAGCCTTATAGGTAAGGCTTGGGAGGAAGTGACTACCAGGACTTTGAACTCTGCTTGGAGAAAATTGTGGCCAGATTGTGTCCACAAGAGGGATTTTGAAGGGTTTGTGGCTGACCCTGATGAGCCTATGTCAGTTGTGAACTCTGTTGTGGCATTGGGGAGTTCCATGAGGTTGGATGTGAGTTTGGAGGATGTGGAAGAGTTGGTGGAGGACCACAACAAAGAGCTAACCACTGAGGAGCTGCAAGAGCTTCAGCAGGAACAGCAACAGATCACAGCTCAGAATCTTGCTGCAGAGGAGGAGGAAGAGAGATGGAAGAAGGTGCTTTCTTCAGAAATTAAGGATATTTTTGAAATGTGGGGTAGGATGGAAAGATATATGGAGAAACATCACCCTGAGAAGGATGTTGCAAGCCATATCGGCAACTTGTACACTGACAGAGTCTTGGCCCATTTTAGGGAAGTTTTAAAGAGACGCCAGAAACAGAGCTCTCTGGACAGGTTTTTTACGAGACAGGACTCCATTGACTCTCAAGCTGGTCCTAATGGCATTAAGAAACAGAGAAGAGAAGTAACCCCAGAAAAGGACTTGGTACCTGAGGTGTTGATGGACGGGGATTCCCCTTCCAAACAGTAACTAATCCAATCTCTCTTCTCCTCCAGTCTTCCATACACTAAGAAGAATCGCCAATAAAGGTAAGTGTTATGCTGTTAATGTTTCATTCATCATGTCCCGTTGTATTGTTTATGTACCACATCTATGTTTCATGTAAAAAAAACTTTTTGTTTTAATACTTCTGGGTGTCAGGAACGGATTAATTGTATTTACATTATTTCTTATGGGGAAAATTGATTCGAAAATTGTCCATTTCGATAATCGTCGCACTTCCAGGAACGGATAAACGAGGGACCACTGTACATAGTTTTTTAATTAAGTAGTACGTATAGTCTTGGTTTCAGTTTGCCTGAAATATTGAGGATTTTTTTACCCTGGCATTGTAATTTACTATCTGTGTTTTAAAAAATAAATGCTTGTTTCTTAATTGTTTGCTTATCTTTTTGATACTTTGTGAAGATAATGGTTTAGAGACTCTTTTACATTACGTAAAAATGATCTCTAAATTACATAGATCGATGATCTGTTAAAACGAGAACATACCTCAACTCCATCACTTCCATGAAATTTCGAAACTTTCAAGCCCTTCTCTGAATTTGCAAAATCATAATAACACAGTTGCAAACAGACGACAGAACAGGTGGGTTTTCAAACTCATTGTAGCCAGCTGGCCCAGTGGCTTACACACTGGTTTGGAGTTTGTAACTCCATTTGGTTTGTTTCCCTTCTCTGAAAAGTGCAAAGGTCACATCATCAATGAAGCACTTTCAACAATGTTAACCCTTTCATGGTCAGCAGGCCCTCTCCCAAACCTGTTCTCAGGGTTGGAAAATATTAAAAAAAAAAAAAAAAAAAAATTCTTATGAAAAGATAGTTTTTTTTTCTAAACTTTATAGGCTAAAAAATTTTTTTTGCCATCAATACTTACCGAGATATGGAGGCGTGAAGTTGGCAGAAAGTGAACAGCATACGGCAAAGTCGCCGACTGCCGGTCACCCGGTAATCGTTTATTTTGTTCTTTTATACTTTTTTCTATTATTTTTTTATATATTTTTTCAAGTAACTTTTACGGCCTGTGAGACCAATATGAGCACTATTTTGTAAGTTTTTTCTCTTTCTATACTACACAATAACTGCACAAACACTGTTGTCACTATATTGTTTACAAAACTTGTTTACACAAATGAGCAATATAAAATGTTGTTTATTACTATTTTTCTATATTTTATATACATATACAGTGGACCCCCGGTTAACGATATTTTTTCTCTCCAGAAGTATGTTCAGGTGCCAGTACTGACCGAATTTGTTCCCATAAGGAATATTGTGAAGTAGATTAGTCCATTTCAGACCCCCAAACATACACATACAAACACACTTACATAAATACACTTACATAATTGGTCGCATTCGGAGGTGATCGTTATGTGGGGGTCCACTGTATACAGTCACAGGTCATGTTTCCAGAAGTTCTGCAGCCTGTGGAAGTCTTTGAAACATGGTGTCATACACAGTGGTGTTTTACACTCCTCACACATAAAACGAGTGTGTCTACATTGTTGTGGGTGTGTTTTTGTATGTGCACAGATGTAACACCTCTTCTGAGCCTTTTTCTTGAAAGCAATAGCAGGCAGTTTTGTTAGGAAGTGATCACCATGCTTCAGATGAGAAGGTAGTTGTTGATAATTTCGTGGGTGGTTTTCTATTGCAGGTGTTGAACATTAAAATGGTATAAAATACCGACAGATTGTTAGGTAAGACACATGCAACAGTTAGGTATCTTTATTTCGAAACGTTTCGCCTACACAGTAGGCTTCTTCAGTCGAGTACAGAAAAGTTGATAGAAGCAGAAGAGACTTGAAGACGATGTAATCAGTCCATCACCCTTAAAGTTTTGAGGTGGTCAGTCCCTCAGTCTGGAGTAGAGCATTGTTCCAAAGTTTGAAACAGTACTCGACTGAAGAAGCCTACTGTGTAGGCGAAACGTTTCGAAATAAAGATACCTAACTGTTGCATGTGTCTTACCTAACATTGCAGGTGTTGTTCCTTGGTACTTGATTATTATTTGTCTGATGACAGAGAAACAAAATTTGCCATATGGTGGTTTGTTTCTAGTCCTCATCTTATACATATTATAAGCATTGAGCATGGAAATGTCCAGAATATGGAAAAAGAGTTTTATGTACCACTTACAACTCTTGCGAACACAATCAGCAAACCCAATCTGCATGTCACATTTGTCCACTGAATGCATATTGAGGGTGTAGTCAATCACAGCTGCAGGTTTTAGAATGGGTTCATTGCTCTCTCTATGCTGCCTGCCAGTGTCTGCCATTTCATTAGGGTGAACTGATAACAACAGTGTGACATCTCATTTGTCATACCACCGAAATGCCATGATGTCATTGGCAGCAAACGCCTACACCTCACCTCTATGAGTGCCAGCATCGAACCTGGGCATATGTTTATGATTTGCATGCACTGTGCCACACACATCTGTCACGTTCACTTGCAAGAAATCACTGAGTATGGGGCTTGTGTACCAGTTATCAGTATATAATATATGCCCCTTACCAAGATATGGTTCCATCATTGTTCTAACCACATCACCAGAGATACCCAATAACTTCCTGGTATCTCACAATGTATTACTTCCAGTGTACACAATTATATCCAATACAAGACCACTGTAGCAATCACAAAGCACAAACAACTTTATACCAAAGCGTTTTCTCTTGCTTGGTATGTATTGCTTGAATGAGTCTTCCTTTGAACAGAATCAAAGACTTGTCAATAACAAGCTTCCTGAAGGGATAAAAATACATATTGAATTTCTGTTTCAGATACACAAACACATTCCAAATTTTATATAACCTGCCATTTTTGTCAGGCCTGGTTTTGTCTGAGAAGTGAAGCATACGTAATAATAGCACAAATCAATTCACTCCTATTATGTGACTGAAACCTGGGGTTGCAATCAGGCGGTCTGTCGACCAGTATGATTTGACACTGTGCTTATACACATATGGCATAAGCATTATTGTGGCAAACAAAAGATACATCTCAGCCACAGTTGTCTCCTTCCACTGGTGTAGGTGTGAGTTTGGTGAAAGTATTGTGTTTACCATGGTGTAATCAAAGTATCTGTTGCTTTCCCTGTCAATAATTTCCATCAGGGGTTCGTCAAAGAATAACTCGAAACATTCCAGTTCAGTGACATTGTTCCCAGGTGTACAAGATGGCCGTATTCTACTTTGACTTTCATCAAAGTGATGGGGATTTGGAACAAAATTGGCAGCATCCTGCCAATCCCAGGTGCGGTCTGCTGGTGGGTACTGGATACTGACAGGTGGTTGTGGTTGTGGAGGTTGTGGTTGTGGAGGCTGGTGTGGTGGGTGGGTGGGGGATGGTGGCCTTTGTTGTAATTCAGCTGAGGCAGCAGTATGGGTGGCAGCATGGCCCACTGCTGGTGCCTCACAGCTGGCACCACCACTACCACCAACAGATGCATGCACATTTTCCATCCCAAGTGCAACACTATCATCTTCATTTTCACTATCTGTTCCTGTTGTACAGCCACGGATTGTACTCCGAGATGTACTCCTTCCCCTTGGAATAGCGTATGGCACACTACCAGAGTGCATATACCATCGTATATACTGACGCTTCACTGGAGAATATTCTACTTCACTCTCGCTGCTGGAACTGTTTTCAAGAGCTTGGAGTTCATATTCACTCTCACTATCATCACCATTGCTCACATTTGAGTCCTGGATATGGGAAAATAAGAATTTCCTCTTTCGTTCTGGTACAACTGAACGTGAACAAGACGGCCCAGCACCAGAGGTGGATGGCTGAGGGTCGTCTGGGTTTTCCTCACTATTACCGGTATTATGGTCATTAGTTTCGGTCACAACCTCATCAAAACCTTGAAAGTCATCTTCACTGGCACTTCCATCTGTATTAGAATTGTCACTGGGGAACAAAAGTATCCCAATTCGCCGAGGAGTGAGGAGTTTCTTACCGCGAGGCATGGTAAGATAAGATAAGATAAGATTTCATTCGGATTTTTAACCCCGGAGGGTTAGCCACCCAGGATAACCCAAGAAAGTCAGTGTGTCATCGAGGACTGTCTAACTTATTTCCATTGGGGTCCTTAATCTTGTCCCCCAGGATGCGACCCACACCAGTCGACTAATGTCCAGGTACCTATTTGCTGCTAGGTGAACAGGACAACAGGTCTAAGGAAACATGTCGAAATGTTTCCACTCGCCGGGAATCGAACCCAGGCCCTCCATGTGCGAAGCGGGAGCTTTAGCCACCGGGCCACTGCCAGGCCACCGGGCCGCAAGGTGTACTAAAATGGCGTTCCCACAATGCACCACTGGGTTCCCGAATTTTTTCCTACCTCGCACACTGACCGCACAGACCCATTCTCTCACATCTAGGTCTACCAGCTGTTTCCCGCTTAATTTGAAGCCGCTAGAATTTATGCGTACTAGTACAGCACCAACCCTGGCACACAAGCCGTACTAGTACGGCACCAACCCTGAAAGGGTTAAGGATTTAAAACACAGTCCTAGTGACTGATGGTGTGTAGCCAACCAGTTAGTTGAAATAACTGAAGTATACATGGAGAGGGTTTCAGGGGTCAATGCTCCCACAGCCCGGTCTGTGACCAGGCCTCTCAGTGGATCAGGGCCTGATCAGTAATGCTATTACTGGTGGCAACATGTGGACTGATGTACAAACCATAGCCCATCTATTGGTAATCCTCTTTATGTATGCCGGGAGGCAGTTGAACAATCTTGGGCCCCTGACACTTATTGTGTTATATCTTAGCATGCTCATGACTCCCCTGCTTTTCATTGGGGGGATGTTGCACCACCTACCGAGTCTTTTGCTTTTATAGGGAGTGATTTTTATGTGCAAATTTGGTAGTAATCCCTCTAGGATTTTCCAGGTGTATATTATCATGTATCTATCCCTGTATTCCAGGGAGTACAAGTCAAGGAACTTCAACTGTTCCCAGTAATTTAGGTGTTTTAGCGTACTTATGTGTGTTGTGAAGGCTCCCTGTACACTCTTCAGGTCAGCAATTTCACCTGCCTTGAAAAGCACCACTACTGTACAGCAGTATTCCAGCCTAGAGAGAAGCGATTTGAATAGAATCACCATGGGCTTGGCATCCATAGTTTTAAAGGTTTTCATTATCCATCCCATCATTTTTCTAGCAGATGTGGTGGATAAAGACACAAATGTAGAACAGAACTTTGAGTTTTACTGGAAAAATCTTAATACACAGGTAAAACATCTTAATAAAAGTTCTGTTCTGCATTTGTGTCTATTTCATTCATGTCCTTTTCAATAAACATTCTGTAGTAGTGGAAGTGTAATTAAAATAGTATCCATTTATTAATGTCCTCATTGAGATTCTCACATTCTTAATTTTCATTTCTGAAACCATAAAATCTTTTATATAATCCTAAGAATTCTTCTTTTAAGGCTGTATAACCCTTGTGGGTTTAGTGCTTTGTTTTGATTGTAACAATAATTTTTCAAGGTTTTTCTCTTATTCTGTTATTTTTAAAACTCAATTTTTTTTCAACAAAATTAGCAAAGGAATTGTCTAAGTTTTCTCCATTTTTTCTAATGTTAAATTTTGATTAGTATTACAAGCATTTGCAATGTCAAAAATGGACCAGTAAGTTGAATGCATCATTAGATCAAAGGTATGTTAGTGACAAGTTGATGACTAAGACTTGTACTAATTTATTTGTCACTACAATGTTTTATGTGTTATTGTACTTATCTATTTGTCACTACACTGTTTTATGTCTCAGTT